TATATATATACACACACACACACACACACACACACACACACACACATACATATATATATGAGGGGCTGCGGTGACTCAGAGGTTAAGACGCTGAGCTGCAGACCAGAAAGTTGGTAGCTTGGAAGTTCGAGACCTGAGTGCCGCATGACACAGTGAGCTCCTGGCCCCAGCTCCTGCCAGCCTAGCAGTTCGAAAGCAAAAATTGCAAGTAGATAAATAGGTACCACTTCTGTGTGCCTCGGAGTCTAGTCATGCCGGCCGCATGACCACGGAAACGTCTTCGGACAGCGCTGGCTCTTCGGCTTGGAGACGGAGGTGAGCACCGCAACCCTAGAGTTGGACTCGACTGGCTTTCGAGCAAGGGAACCTTTACCTTTACCATATATATATTTGCCATCAAGTCGCAGCTGACCCATGGCAACCCCCTGGGGTTTTCAAGGCAAGAGACGTTCAGAGGCTGTTTGCCGTTGCCTGCCTCTATATAGTAGCAACCCTGGACTTCTTTGGTGTCTTCCATTCAAATGCGAACCAGGGCTGACCCTGAGATTGGGCTACCCTGGGCAGCAGGGCTCCCTCTAAGCTGTGGAGTCCTGTGAGCAAAAAATTCTACTTTGTGAACTACCGGCATTAAGGTTTTGAGGGAGCGATTTGGCTCCTGCATAAATTAGTTTGATCTGGAGCCCTCCTTCCTGAGTTAAGCCAAAAACGTGTGAGCCGGAGGCTAAAAAGCCTTGAGCTAGCTCACACTGACTCAGCTTAGAGGGAACACTGGCTGGACTATCAATGGCTGGGCTCACACACTAAACAATCCACTTTCGATGCACTTTCCAACTGGATTTTGCCAGTTCACACAGTAAAAATCCAGTTGGAAAGGGCACTGAAAGTGGGTTGTTTAGCATGTGTGACCACAGCCAATGTCAGGCAGGCAAATAGGCAGACTGACAGACTGGAGTTTTATTTCACTGTTTAAACTGCAGGCTGCAGTGCGTGACTTCCAGCTCGCTGACATCCAAAACTGGCTGTGCGAGGCTTGGATCCTTGCTTGCAAACGCACCTGGAAGAAGCAGGGCAGAATAAGGCTGGGTGTGGAGTCCATCTTCCAGAGCAGCCATTTTCTCCAGGGCAGCTGATCTCTGTAGCGTGGAGATTAGTTGTAATTCCAAGAGAACTCCAGGCCACATCTGGAGGTTGGCAAGCCTACCTTGAAAAAGTAAACCAGCCCTCAACTTCTCAGCCCCACTGCTTACAGCTTGTCCTTTCTCATTAAAGTTAGGCCTCCCTACCAATGGCCAGTTAAACTCCTCGTGGTTGCGGTCCCAGGGCTATTTTTGGGCAGGAACGCACAGGAACGGAGTTCCGGCTGGCTCCCAAGTTGGCCACGCCCAGCAGGAGCTCATTAGCATAATAGGCCACACCCAAGAGCAGAAACGCATTAGGATTGGCTACATTAGGGGTGTGTGGCCTAACATGCAAAGGAGTTCCTGCTATAAAAAAAGCCCTGGGTTTTGACAACAAACAAGGTAAACAGAATAACAAGCAAAAGGTGGATGTGGCTGGATGAGCACACTTCTGGTAACATGGGGGTGCGGCCTAATGTGCTAATGAGCTGTGCTGTCAGGGCTGTGGCCTAATAGGCTAATGAGTTTCTGCTGTTGGGTGTGGCCTATTATGCTAATGAGTTCCTGCTGGGCTTTTTCTACAAAAAAAGCCCTGGCGGTCACACACGCGAAATAAAGCCGGGGCAGGGGCGAGGCTATTCCCTCCGGAGGAATGTGACCCGCAGTTGCGTGATCACACAGTCCCTTAAAGCTGCGGGCACAGCCCGCCACTGCGTGATCAGACGCAACCACAGGTGAGTCAAGGGTGGGTTTTTTTGCCATTTGTTTCCGATGCGCTTAAATAAGGAATCGATGGATCGCACCTCTGCACTGAGGGCTCCCTATGGAGTGTGCGATGATGCGCATACTGAG